CCCGGAAACACATTTCTTGGGGTTGAGTTTGATGCCGTTTGCTTGGAGTTTCGCGAAGGTCTGCACTAGGTCGCCTATGACCTGATCAGCCTATTTGGACTTGACCATGATGTTGTCTATGTAGGTCTTAACATGTTTGCCCGATGAGGTCACCGAAACACTTGAGCATATGTGTTGGTACATAGCCCCCGTGTTCTTTAGGCCGAACGACATTGTGACGTAGCAGAATGATCCGAATGGGGTGATATAAGATGTCGCGAGCTGGTCGGACTCTTTCATTGCGATTTGATGGTACCTGGAGTATGCATCAAGGAAGCAAAGGGTTTCACACCCTGAGGTCAAGTCGACTACTTGGTCTATGTGTGGCAAAGGAAATGAATCCTTTGGACATGCTTTGTTGAGACCCGTGTAGTCAACACACATTCTCCATTTCCCACTCTTTTTTTATACAAGAACGGGATTGGCTAACCACTCGGGGTGGTATACTTCCTTGATGAACCCGACCACCAAAAGCTTCGCAATCTCCTCACCGATGGCCCTACGTTTCTCCTCGTCTAAGCAACGCAGGCCCTGCTTCACCGGCTTGGAGCCTGGCTTGATCTTCAAGGCATGCTCAGTGACTTCTCTTGGAATGCCTGGCATGTTTGAGGGTTTCCACACAAAGATGTCTCTGTTGGCACGGAGGAAGTTGGCGAGCATGCTTTCCTATTTGGAGGAAAGCGTGGTGCCGATGCGCACCACTTTGCCCTCGGAGTCACTAGGGTCTATGAGGACCTCCTTGGCTCCCTCTACAGGCTCGAAAGATACAGCCGACTGCTTGGGGTTGGGCGCTTCTTTGACAACCTCCTCCCTGATGGCCGCAAGCTTTTGGAGGCGACAATTGCCGTGGCATGTTCGCAGCACTCGACCTCACACTCATAGGCACGCTGGAAGGAGGTGCCAATGGTGATGACCCCACATGGACCTAGCATCTTCAACTTCAGATAGGTGTAGTTGGGGACGGCCATGAACTTCGCGTAGCATGGACGTCCCAGGATGGCATGGTAAGTCCCGTGGAACCCGACCACCTCGAAGGTAAGGGTCTCCATCCTATAATTGGTCAGATTCTCGAAGGTGACGAGAAGATTGATCTACCCAAGTGGCATGGCCTGCTTTCCAGGCACGATGCCGTGGAAAGGCGCCCCAGTTGGCCGGATGCACGATCGGTCGATGCCCATGGCATTGAGCGTTTCAGCGTACATGATGTTGAGGCCATTGCCTCCATCCATTAGCACCTTGGTGAGCCGCTTCATGCTGATGATTGGGTCGACCATGAGCAGGTATCTTCCCAGCTACGGGACACTTTCTGGGTGGTCAGTCCGATCAAAGGTTATGGGAGACTCCGACCATTGGAAGAAGGAAGGCGTGGCTGGCTCGACTGTATAGACCTCGGGGCGCGCAAGCTTCTAGCGGCGCTTGGAGTCATAGGCCACCGACCCTCTGATTACCATGAGGCAGCCATCCAGCGTCGGAAATCTGCCATCCTTCCCCTCGACGTCGTCTGTGGCCGGCTTGGGCTCCTTCCTATGCTCCCCCTTGTTGGAGCCTTCAGACAAGAACTGCTTCATGAGGATGCAATCCTTGTATAGGTGCTTGATGGGGAAGGCTTGGTTCGGGCATGGCCCTTCGAGTAGCTTCTCGAAGTGGTCTGGGGTACCCTCGGTGGGCTTCTGACCCCCTTGCGGTCGGCGGTGGCCATGAGCGAGCCCTCGCACCGCTGCTTGTTCTTCTTCGTGTTGGGGCGGTTGGAGGCGCCTTCGCCGGCATCCTCGTCTTGCTTTGCCTTGCCCTTGGGGCGGTCGAAAATTGCCCCGACCGCCTCCTTGCCCAAGGCATGGCTGGTGGTGATTTCAAGGAGTTCCTTGGTCGTTTGCGAGCTATTACATCCTAGCTTGTGAACCAGGGACTCGCATGTGGTCCCGGACAGGAAAGCTCCTATAACATCGGCGTCGGTGACGTCAGGTAGCTCGTTGCACTGCTGGGAGAAGCACCGGATGTACCGACGAAGAGTTTCCCTAGACTTCTGTCGACAGTTTTTGAGATCCCATGGGTTCCCAGGACGTGCGTACGAGTCCTAGAAGTTTCCCACAAAGATCTCTTTTAGGTCCGCCCAACATTGGATTCGGTTGGACGGAAGGTGTTCCAACCACGTTCACGCCGAATTGCCTAGGAACAATGAAAGGTTGCAGATAATGAAATTATCACTATCTGCTCCACCGGCTTGGCAAGCAAGCCGATAATCCTTGAGCCACAGTATGGGGTTTGTTTCCTTGGAGTATTTTAGGATGTTGGTCGGCGGTCGGTACCGTGGTGGGAAGACGACGTTGAGGATGTGTTGGCCAAAGGCCTGAGGTCTTGACAAGTCGGGGCTCGGGCTTCGGTCCTCACCGCTGTCATAGTGTCCGCCACGACGAGGGTGGTAACCGTGGCTAGCCTCCTCCCTCTCATTGTTGTGGGCACGCCTACGGGCATCCAGGGTGTCGCGCACGTCATGGCGAAGGCCGAGATGCTCATGCACCGGGACCTCGGCACGTGGCCTACCGCCTCGCTGTGCCTGGTGGACTGACACATCCCTGTCAGGTCGCTCTGAGGGTGCGCACTGGCTGGCGCCCAGCTCGTGTCATCAGGACAGTGAGCTCTCAGCCTGCTGCGCTGCCACACGCTCGAGTAACATGCGAATCTCATGATGGTCCTGATGATCCTCGGGCGTCGCGGGCCCCAAAAGCCCTCGGAGCAAGGCCGCCGCGGCAGCGATGTTCTGGCTTGCCTGGGTGAAGTGTGGGAGGGCTTTGTCATCCTCGTTGATCCTCTGGTTCACGTCGAGGGCCACGGCACATGCACACCCACCGTCTCCATGGTGCTTGATCTCTCGCTCGAGCTCTACGCGTTCCTGCTTGAGCTGGAGTTGTGCTTCTTTGAGCTCTTGGTGCCACGCCCTCAGCTGCTCTACCCATAGGTGAGGTGGGGCCCCTACATCCTCCTTGACATTCTCGCGAGGGGTGATGGAACCCCTGCTAGAGTCAGAGTCAGAGGGTGACTCCGATTCTCATGCGAGGAGGTCGTGGAAAGATTCTATGATGTCTTTGGTCATCCCCATGAACTCATCGTTCGTGTGGGATGGGGGCGTGCACTGCGCCACAAGGTGGCCAACGGTCTCTGTGGCATGGCGCAGACCGAACGGGAGCGCTATCGGAGCGCTCCAGATGAGGTATTCCAGGGAGAGCGGCTCTCCCCCGGCAAGCTACGTCATGACATTAGCAAACGAGAAGGTGAGGCGGCGCAAGTCCTCCTAGGACGGTCGGGGTCCTAGGAAGACGCTGAGCTGGTGCTCTAGCCTCTCGTAATCGAAGCCGAGGAGTTGGTCACTCCCAGGGGCATGGGCCTCCAGTGCGTGTAGCTGCAGCACCTCAAGCGCCTTGGTGATCGCGTCAAGGCCGGTGGAGTGGAGAGGTTGGACGGCGGTAGAAACCTGCGCCAACTCTCCCTCCATCATAATGATGAAGTCCAAGCTTCCAAAGCGCATGTGCGCGCTTGGGACCCAGCTGATGCCGTGACTAGCCATCCGAGGCCTGATGTGGACGTCGAGACGCGCAAAAAGCACCTACCTGGTGCACCAACTGTCGGTGTTTTCTGACCGCCGACGAGTAAATTTATTGTTGCGCGTCTGGCTCGGATGGTGTGCTCAGAGGACACAAGGGTTTATACTGGTTCGGGTGGAACGTCCCTACGTCTAGTTCATTGCTGCTCATGTTACCGGCACTTGGTTTGCAGTAGGGGTTATAAACAGGCGAGAGAGGAAAAGGATCCCAAGTTTCTAGTGGAAGAAGTGAACGGGTGCTAAGAGCTCCATTGCCGCTCAGTCATGAGCTCATGTCGTGCTCTTGTGTTCCAATTCCCCCTAGCGTGGGGCGCCCTGCTTCCCCTTTTATTGGCAAAGGGAAAGTGCGAGTTACAGAGGAGAAAAAAGTAGAAGAACGAGAGAGAGAAGAAGGCTTCCAGGGTCGTCGGGTCCTTCTCCTTCATGCTGATCCTGTAGATGTCAACAGGGACGGCTCCATGTCGTGGCCCTGTTCGTCACTGGCGACATGCGTAGGCGTCATCTGCCGATCATGGCGTTCCACTCCATCCCGGCGGACGTCGTGGTGAACTGACGCGCCTGTTAGTGTCCGTACGAGGATTAGGCAGAACAGCACCGGCACGTCCGACACTGTTCTTGATGTGAATCTCCAAGTATGGCCCATCATGGCCACGGGTTATATTGGGGCGTGCCAGCCTCTTTCCAAGCATCAGAGTTTTGACCCAGGCCCATACGCTTGGACCTAGAGTGGTTGGCGGTGGTATGGGTCCCTGTCGGACGAGACGGAAACCGCGTCCTCGAGGTCGGGCGAGAAGGAGCTCGCGACCTTGGACGAGACGGAGCCCGCGTTCTTAGGGTCAGGCGAGACGGAAACCGCACCCAAGGGGTCGGGCGAGACGGAGCCCGCACCAAACGGGTCGGGTGAGACGGAAACCACATCCTTGGGGTCGGGTGACATGGATCCCTCACCCAAGGGGTCGGGCGAGACGGAGCCTATAGCCTTGAGGTCGGGTGAGACGGAGCCCGCGGCCTTGGGATCGGGCGAGACCTTTTAATATGTCTCGAGCCATCCGGGGAAGTCAGCGTAGACGCTAACTTCCTTGCTTTGGATATCCCTACTATCGATACCCGATAATGTGCATTCAAACAAGGCCTTCGGAAGAAATAAACAGATGCGGAACACCGACGGAGCAAAAACAGAACCGAACGGAAAAAAAAAGGACTGACAAAAACATAACGGAACGGAAAAAAAACAGACAAAATGAAAAATCTCTCCGTGGTTCAATATTCGATTAGAGATAGATTGAAGAAAATCAGATTTCTACTACGGATTTCAATCTGCGTGTACTATGTTACGGAACACCAAGATCTTAGGAATACATACCTGAAAAAAATCCCCACTGGTTACACGCTAGTTCAAGCTTTGCACACTCCTCTTTACATGACTGTGGATCAACCAACTTTTTGAGATCAATGATTGGGATTGCAAGTGCAATGTCACGACCACTGATCACCTCCTCTGCAGCTTCTTCTACCCTGAAGTACCTCTCAGGAATCTGCTCGTCGGATCTACTGTAGGTTTGTGCAAGTGCCTGCACATTCGGCACCGGTAGAGATTCCCCAGCTTTCGCGTACACCATCTTTTATTTCTCACTCCTGCTGGTGCTAGTTACAACCATGACAACCTCATTTCATAACATGTCTCTTCTTATATTATGGTGAACACACACAGATAGGCAAAGCACAACAGAATGGCTCAGTTCCGCACTGAATTTTTCGCAGGTACGACATGGTCATGAGCCATTAATGTTACAATGGAAAAAACCACCGACCTACTATATATAGTACTGGACGATGAAAGATATTTTGCATTTTTCTTGAGGGCACTAAGTAACTGAGTAAAGATGACGTTTACATTCACATTTTTCGAACGTTTACCTCATTTTCCCATTGACAAAATGTTCACTCTTGCTACTAGTACTCGGAGGCTGATGTATAACCTAATTTTTTTCATAATATCAAAAGTATATGTTGTTTAACTTGATAGACTCTAAATCATCATCGTAAATAATAGTCATTGGATCTAATCTATTTTTTAAAAATTTACACCCATAACACCTCTGCCATTAAAACATACATTAAGGAAAAACACATAATTTGTAGCTAAGTTACCCACTCCATTCTCTTTTATAAAGTGTGCACACATATCAAGATTTAAACTTTAAATCTTTGACCAATAATTTAGCTAGTGATTTTTAATTATTATAATATAAATTTAATATGGTTAGATTTATAATTAAATATATTACCCGCTTGTCATAAATGTATAGGTATAAACAATATAAAATAAATAAATAAAAGGTCAAAGTGTAATTTAGGAGACCGTATAATGTCTAGTTATGCCTTATCTATAAAAAGAATGGAGGTAGTACAAAAAATAATTAAAATAATCTCTAAATATGCATCTAAATTATCTACTTTTGCTATTATATAAAAACATAAAATAACCTGCTAAATTTATGCAAGTACCTGCACAATCAACACTGGTAGACATTCTCCACCTTCTGTGTGCACTACCTTTATTTCTCGTTCTTGCCCATGCTGGTGACAATCATGAGGACTGTAACACCCTCGGTGTTACACCCTAAACAAATCACTAAATCATGTCATGAGCATCATGTTTATGTGACATTGCATGTGATAAAGAGTGTAGATGAATTGCTTGTAACCTAAAATGGTTGATAAAAGTGTTAAATGAAAGTTGATCCAATAGTTCATGTTGTATCAAGTGAGGTTCAAAACCGATTTTTATTGGGCAGAAACATTATAAAACATACTTGTGTCACTTAAATAAAGTTTAAAGTACAAACTTTGTAGATAACAATGCAACTCTTGCTGTAGAAAAATAAAATTGCTGGCTAGTATTTTTAATAGCTTGGAAATTGAAGTTGAAATAAAAATCAGCCCTAGACTTAGCAAATTTCCTAAGTCTGAAAACAGAATGGCAGTACCATGTTGGGGAATTAATTCTGAAAAACGTAACTAAAGGCCAGTGCTATGTTATTGCTCCTAATGGTAGTCCAATGTACCCTCTTTGGTATGGTCTAGGTGGTTGTGACTCATCGAGTTGGTTTAGTCGTGGTTGATGCTTTAAAATTCATGCACGTGAACAACCTCGGGCTATGTGGCCGAGGGCTGCGATCACCATCTTTCCCGTAGCTCAGCATCGCGCGTGTTGCCGAGGCCATGCCGGCCGGACATACTCCTAGCTTGGCCATGGCTGGGCGTGGCCGGCCACAGTTGGCCGCCTGCCCTGGTCGTGTGGTGCTGCTGCCACCGCGGGCCCTGCGACCAGGCCGTGTGGCCACCCCGTTCCCTGCCGCACTACTTCGCTGCCGCTCGCCGCGCTATGCTGTGGGCCACCTCGCGCGCTGCTCCGCTGTCCCTACCGCTCTGCTGCGATGCCGCCGCTACTGGTACTGCGCCATGCTATTGCTCATCTCCTCGTTGTGTGCACGAGGGCTTGCCCCTTCCCTGTTGCACGCACTGTCGCCTTGCCATTTATGGCGCTGCGACCACGCAGGCAGTGCTCGGTCGAAGACGCATGTGTCTTGTCCGTAGCGTCAGCGCGTGTGTCGCCCTGGTGAAAGCTCTAGTTTGGTTTTGGTGAATTGATGAAACCCTAAGTGCTAACCTAGTTTATCAAAGTGATTATAAGATAGGTAGCATATTCCAAGTGGTGAAGCAAATGAAGATCATGACATGATGATGGTGATGCCATGGTGATGATCAAGTGCTTGGACTTGGAAAAGGAGAAAGAGAAACAAAAGGCTTAAGGCAAATGTATAAATGGTAGGAGCCATTTTGTTTCGGTGATCAAGGCACTTAGCGAGTGTGATCACATTTAGGTTTGACAGTCGTACTATTAAGAGGAGTTAAACTCGTATCGAAATGCGGTTATCAAAGTGCCACTAGATGCTCTAACTTATTGCATTTGCATTTAGAATCTAGTGGAGTACTAACACCCTTAAAAATGATTGTGAAAATATGCTAACACATGTGCACAAGGTGATACACTTGGTGGTTGGCACATTTGAGCAAGGGTAAGAAACTTCACCGATGGAGTGTCCGCACGTAGAGGTCATGATCTAACTAATGCGTCCGGTCGCTGCTGGAACCTTACTGGAAGTGATCGGATGCTGGGGTCCTACGTCCAGTCGTGGCACTATGCTGTGTCCGGTCATCACTTGACCGTTGGGATCAGGCGCTCGGTATTTGAAGAGAGGGATGATGTGGCGGCCATCCATTGACCGAACGCTGGCGGGGTGCGTCCGATCGATCTGACCGGAGCGTCCGGTCACCCCGAGCAGTGCCTAGTGAAGGGGTACAACGGCTCTATTTTATGGGGGCTTCTATTTAAGCCCCATTGCCGGCTCTAGTTCACTCTCTTGGCCATTTGCATTGACATAGCAATCTTGTGAGCTTAGGCAAAGCCCTCCCACTCATCTCCATCATAGATTCAACATGTTTGTGAGATTGGGAGTGAATTCAAGTGCATTGCTTGAGTGTTTGCATCTAGAGACACTTGGTGTTCGTGTTTCGCTGCAGGATTCGCTTGTTACTCTTAGTGGTTGCCACCACCTAGATGGCTTGGAGCAGCAAGGATCGTCGAGCGAAGGTTGGTGATTGTCTCTAGCTCCGATCGTGGTGATTATGAGGGGTTCTTGACCTTTTCCCGGCGAAGAGCCAAAAGGTACTCTAGTGAATTGCTCGTGGCTTGTGTGATTCTCATCTTGTGTTGGTTGTGCGGCACCCTATTAAGGGTTTGGCGTGTGATGCCAATTAGCGCGTGAACCTCCAAGTGAGTGAATCGCCGTAACGAGGACTGGCTTGCCGGCAAGCAAGTGAACCTCGATAAAAAAATCATTGTGTTATCATTTGATTCCAAGGTGATTGGTCTTCATTGGTATCCATCCTTGTGATTGATAGGTTCACTCTTTGACATGACAGTATAACTATCTTGCTCTCTCTCTTTATAATACCGCAAACTAGTTGTCAAGCTCTTTAGTGTAGCTAGTTGTGAGAGCTTGTTAGTTTGGTTAGTGTGGCTCTTTAGTTAGCATTTGAGAGTGCACTAACGTAGTGTAGTGACATAGCTATTGTGTGAATAGAAACCATATAAACTAGAATTGTGGTAGGTGGCTTGCAATTTTAGTAGGCTAGCGCAACACTTGCTTCGTCTCATAATTGTCTAACCGATTTGTTAAGTGTTGTTGTAGAAATTCTTAATAGGCTATTCACCCCCCCCTCTAGCCATTAGGACCTTTCACCTAGTCACGTCGGCCGCGTCCCGCCAAGACGAGGTCACGTCGAGCTCCAGTTTCCCCGTCTTCTCTCTCCCACCATGGCCGACTGAGCCGCGAAAGTAAATACGGTAGGGAGAGGTCACCTCGGGTCATTTTGTTGCATCTCTGGTGCCACCATCAAGCCGCCAAGCCAACCGTTCCCCACCCCGCCTTGAATGGTGCCCAGCCGAGCTTCAATTTTGGAGCTTTTCCCCGTCACTGTGCCGATAAGGCTGAGTCGGCCCATCACCGAGGGCAGCTCCCATCTAACCACCTCGGGCCCAATTGGCGACACCCCTAGACTCACCTTGAACCCCTCCTCACCATGCGCACCTGAGACATACCAATACCGCTGTCCCAGCGCTGCTGACGCAGTCTTGTCCGCCGTGGCTCGTCGCCGAGCTCACCGCGCGTACGTGGCTAGCCTTGCTCGGGGTGTCTTTGGCCGAACCATCGCCTCAGCCAGGTCCTTGGTGAGTCACTGATGCTCACCTGCTACCTCTACTGCTCCCTTAGCGCTGTAACTCACTAGAACGTTGTCGTCGCCATCGTAGGTTGCCCACCGATGTGGGAGAAGTCGCCCTGCTTCGTCTCCGGTCTTCTAACCGCTACCCAGCATTGCGCGTCGGTCTGTAGCTAAGCATCGACCCCCTAGCTAGGTCTGCATGGGTCCCAATTGGCTAGCGTAGCGGCTCCATGGCAACCAACACCGTGCCGACGAGCGCGAGGGCTTCGGGGACCTCAACGATGCGAAGATGAGTCTTTTCAGGGGCCTTCACGCATAATCACTGACTAAAGGAATAGGGCGCATAGTGGTTGTGTTAATAGCAGGAAGCGTGGGGGCTTTTTTGCTAAAATGCCAGCGCGAGCGGGTTCCCCGTCGTGGGCCGCTTCCCCGCCGTGGGGCGCGCTGGGCCAGTTCGGTTTCTCTTTTTGGTAAAGAATTAGAAATAGCTTTATATTTTTATTCAAGAGCCAGTTTTGTTTAATTAATATAAAATCTTGTAGATGCCCAAAAATTATGAAACAAATTTTGTTATGTTTCTAAAATTGTGATCTATCTGTTGGTGTAATTAATGTATACATATACATGTTGATACTAGGGGCTATTAAATCATTTGAGAGTGCTCAAAAGGAATTTTTGTGGTAAATTGGTAATAGCTTTAGTCCTAAAATTTTTATGATAGCTTCATTGTATTATTATGTGCTCATTGTAATTTTTGTAGCCTTAGAATAGACCAAGCATTAGGGTAGTTAAATGCTCTTTGTTTCAATATACATTAAATCATTAGTAG